TGTCTCTCCTGTCTGCTTGTCCATCTTCCACAGGTGTGCCAGAGGTGGACCTGCAGCAGGAGCGGGAGAGAGCTGTGCCCACTGGGTGTGGGTAAAGGGAGAAAGTGGCTCTTGAAAGAACTTTGTGCCCTCAGAAAGCTGAGTGGGAAGCACAGCCCAGCTCCAGGAGGAGGTTGTGGTGTCCTTGGGCATGTTCTTAGCAGCAGAGTTGTAAGACCACCTTCCCAGGCAGGGAGATGAGTCCCAGGGAGGGTCTGGCTTTCATAGAGCCATGGAATAGTTGGGTTGGAAGGGACCTTAAAGCCCATCTCATTCCACCCACTGCCAGGGGCAGGGATACCTTCCACTGGACCAGGGAAGGGAAGGGAAGGGAGCAAGAGAGAGTGAGGGAGGAAGGGAAGGAAGGAGAGGCAAGAACAGCGAAGGAAAAGCCTGCACACAAATGAGGCTTAATTATCCTAATGGCCTGTAGCTGATTATCAAAGCCAACATTTAGGGCTGGGTATTGGATCCCATCTGGTCTCTGCACAGCCTGGAGAGGGCTGGGAGAGAAGGAGCTCTGGTGAAATCCCTGTGAGTGCCAGCTGGGGGGGGGCTGTGCCGGGGGCTCAGCTCTCCCTGGGCCCCACAGAACACCTTCTGCAGCCCAGCTCCAAAACCACCCTCCAGGGCTGGACCCTCAGGGGCTGAACCCCACCAGCCCCCCAAACTCCCAGACAGAGCTCTGGGGGCTGCGTTTCATCCTCAGGTTGTTCCCAAAGCAGGATTCCCCATTGCATGAGGAATTCTGCGCTTGGATTCAGGGAGGGAACCAGCTGCTTTATGAAAGAGAATTTTTGAATCCTTTTGTCAACAGCTAAATGTTTCAGTTGATAGAGTCAATGCAAGATGCAATATTATAAATATTAGATTAATTGTATTGTATAGGATTTATATCACATAAAGATCCAAGGAGTTATTTTTACCTCTGTGAAAGATAAAGCAAGGGAGTTAAAGTGATTTGTTCAGACACATTCCTCTCAAAAACTTTGTCAAAAGCAGCAGATTCCCTGGGAATACTTTGATTTCGATAAAACTGCATTTCTCAGTAGGAAAACCAACCTGTCAACAACTCCAGGCAGGGCCCTCCCACAGAACCGAACTGGCTCCAGAGAGGCACTTCCATAACTGTGGAGGTTGTTTTCCTTCTGAGGGGCCATGAGAGATCAGTGGTCCCCCCAGGGCCATCCTGTCCCTCCAAGGGGCTGTACACTGTGATAATTAGGGGGGCACTATGAATTCCATCACCCCACAATGCCATGTACATCCTGCCCCCGTGCATGTGAAACCTCAGAGCTGGTGCTCCTTGCTGTGGACGCTCCCACTGGGATGGCACACAGCAGCCAAGGGCCTTCCCAAACCCCAGCCCTGCCCCATCCTGGCCCTCCAGGACCCCCAGGGATCTGTGCACACCCCAGGGGAGAGATGGTTTGTGAGTCCCTCCATGCATGGAATGGGTAAAAGCCATCAGTGTAGCTCTGGCTCATCAGCTTTGCTTTCCCAGCAATAAAAAATATCCAACCTGCAATCCCTCACCGAGGAATCAGCTCCAGCCTGGAGGAGCCCACGTGCCCACCCTGGTGAGGTCAGGACCCCGGTGTGCCAGGCTCCCCCAGCTCTCCCCATACCCTCTGTCTCCCCTCCGACCCATCCCAGGTAACACTCCTCGGATCCGAGGCATCCCGGGATGCACAGGGGGTTGTGCCTGGCACTGCCGAGCTCCACTCCAACCGGCACAGGGACGGGATGTGTCCTCCTGGGAACACAACATCCCTGCCCAGGGAACATGGTCCTGCCAGCTCCTGAGAGTCTCCACCCTCCACTTAAACCCTTCACAGGTGATAGACCTCAAACACTCGAGCCGTGTCCTTGTGTCCCTGGTGATGCTCTCAGCCGGATCCACATCCCCGGTGTGCACGCGCGTGTCCGGAGCGTCTCCAGCTGCTGATGGAGGCACTTGGAGCAAAGATTATTGTGTGTTTGCTCTATTTCCAAGCAACCACTTTGCTCCTTGTTCTGATTGTTGGGCTGGTGATCCAGCAGCTCCATGGAGGGGGTGCCCCCCCGCCCCCTCTGCTCCCACCTCACCCCGGTTTCCCACAGCCCCTTCCCAGGGCGGCCTCCGCTGCCTCCCCTCCCGTCCCAGCTCCGGTGGCTGCTGCTAAATTTAGTGAGGAGCTTCTGTCCATTCTAATACTAATAGGCCCATTTTTAATAATGATGTTTTCACAGCAATTTCAGCCCATCACGGTGTCACAGGGGTATTGATGAAAAAAAGCCTCTAATCCCTGTTAATAGATTCCATTTGACAGCGAACGTGTCTCAATGTTCATTCCCAAAGGCCCCAGTGGTTTCGGTGTCACTTAGGGCTGACCTTGGAGGGTAACGAGACCTTCTCCAGAAGAATGGCCCAGTGTCCATCTGGAATGGGGCTCCTGGCCCCCTGACTCCCTTTCCCCACTTCTCAGATGACAGGGCTTTCTCAGAAAGTCTGTTTTGGGAGGTCCCATGGGGTGAGTATTTTATTTGCTTTTTCTTCTCTCCTGCACACGAGCTGGGCACAAGGGTGGGTGCTCCTTCCTTCACAGCTCAGGAGATGGGGATTTTCTCCTCAGCCTGCCTGCTGGGAAAGGGAAGATCCTCCTTCTCCATGGTAAGAGATGGGGAAAGAGGAGATAAGGGGAGTGGAGTGGTGTCTGTTCTGTGGAGCCAATGGGAGCTGCCAATTCCTGTGGTCCTGACTCACCACTGGCGGGGCACAAGGTGGGTGTCCATGCCAAGGAACCATCCTGGAGCCTTGCAGCTCTCCCAGAGCCATTGTGTCTGACCTGTGTACGTAAATATCCCAGAAAACACCTGCTGGATGGTGTCAGACAGCACCTAAGGAAGCTGTGAGTCCAGAAATCATTAAACAGGGAAGAATAATTGACAGTTCCTCTCCACATGTGGGGAGCTCAGACAGGACCCTCCAGCTGGGAGCAGGTCCTACCCACTGTCCTGCTCAGAGAGGGGGAGAGAATCCACCCCCTACACCTCACGGGATGGACAAACAGGAGGACATGGTGTGATGGAAGTGCCCCGTGGCTGGACCCCCTCCTGCCGAGCTGCGATGGGCCGTGAAGGTGTGAGAGCCACCTCCAACCCCTGCACAGCCTCCCAGCCCCCCACGAGTCTCCCCCAGCCCAGAGGTGGTCTGGAAACAGGCAGGTCATCCCTGTCTGGCTGTGAGCCCTGACCCTGCCAGCCCCCAGCCCCTGACCCCTGCTCCCCTTCCACGCTGTCCAGTTCCTTCCCCTCCTGTCCCCTCCTTTCATCCCCCTCGGATGGAGCAGCTCCATGTGTGTCCAGGGGCTGGAGGCATGAGCCAGGGGCCCCTGGCAGTGGTTTGGGGGGCAGGAGGAAGGGCAGAGCCCTGCTGTAGCTCACAGCTAAATGCTGCCTTTCACTCCAGCATTCCCGAGGAAAGTAATGAGAATAATTAAAGGTAATTTCATTTATTTCAGCTTCAGTGTGTAAAGCAGATGGGGGTGGGGGTTTCCAGCCTCTCACTGAAGGAGGGAAGGGCAGAAAGCAGAGCTCTAACACTGAACTGCCCACGGGGACTGCAGGGACCCCTTTCCCCACCTGGCTGTTTGTGGGGCTCACCTGAGAGGGGGGGACCCACAGTGGTGTGGGGGCACTTGGAGACTGGTTCTGGGGGACAAAGGTGATCCCGGGGGAAGCCTTCCCTTCGAGAGACCTGTGCTGGATACGCCTGAGCCCTGCACTAAAATAACCCTGGAGAGAGGTGTGGAGCAGGGAGAATTTCCCTGGAGCAGGGTGTTCCCAGTCCCTGCACAGGGAGCAGTGATGCTCACTGAAGCAGTGCCAGCTCAGCTCAGCCTGGGAAGGTGGAGCTGTGCCTGAGAGCCCGTCTGAGGGTGGAGACAATGGTCCCAGGGACCCAGACCCCCTCAAAGTGGTGACAAGGGCACTACCAGCACCCTGCATCACTGTCTGACCCCAGGGAATCAGCCCTGGGATCCGGGAGCAGGACTTTAATGGGCTGTTAGTCACAGAAACATCCTGACTGAAGGGACCTAATTGGATGGTGACGATGCTGAGCTGGGTAATTAGGAGACCATAAACCACACAGGTCACAGCTCCTCCAGCAGCACATTCCATCACTGCTCCATGAGCAGGGTGATCCTCCCCGAGCCCTTCTGTGTCACACACAGACACTTTGTGGGGACTACAGAAACTCCTCCTTCATCCCAAGACTTATCTCCATCCTCAGCATCCCAACAGTGGCCCCAGGTGGCTCCGGGCGAGGGGAGAGCTGAGGAAACCCCGCTTTCCAAAATATGATCATTCCCTAACACATTCAAGCGTAGGGAATTGCATCCCAGAGCAACCCAACCCACCTTCCTGCAAGAGGGGGCGGGTGGGGACAGGGTGGCAGCGCTGCCAGGAGGTGATGGAGCAGCCTGAGCAGAGACACCCACGTCCCACTGTGCCGGCTGTGACGCGGGGACGCCTCAACTCACCTGAGCTCTTGACCCCATTGTGTCTCTTCCACATGAATTATGCCAGTGCTCAAACTTCCCCAGCACACACACTCATTAAATATAAATTTTATCCTCAAATATTCAACAGCAGCGTTGTGAATGGCGTGTTTGGGTGCGTTTGAAATGTTCCCTGTGCCGGGAAGTGACAGGAGCAATCCAGCTGTGGGAGAGGAGGAACACCAGGAGATGCCCATGGCCGGGTGACACATGCAGGAGGTGCAGGATGAGCTTCTGAACATCTGCTCTGCAAGGATTCATGGACAGGAGTGGATGTCAGGGAGAAATTTGTAAATTGTTCCTTACTCTAAATGTGATTCAGAAAAGTGTCCTGAATCGTAGAATCACAGAGTGATTTGGTTTGGAAGGGACCTTAAATATCATCTCGTTCCACCCCTCTGCTGTGGGCAGGGACACCTTCCACTAGCCCAGGTTGCTCCAAGCCCCGTCCAACCTGGCCTTGGACACTTCCAGGGATGGGGCAGCCACAGTTTCTCTGGACAACTTATGCCAGGACCTCACCACCCTCACAGTCAAGAATTTCTTCCCAATATTTAATTCTGAAGTGCCATCAAAAAACAAAAGCATGGAGAAAGGCAGGAATCCCAGCAGGAATGCTTTCCCTGCATTTTTCCCTGTCTTCGCATCACCAAAATCACATCAGTGGCTTTCTGGCATGAAGGCATCTGAATGTCCTGTGGGTGTATCCAGTACAAGAACCGGGTCTTGCCACTGGTACCTGTCCTTGCTCATCCCAGGGGCTGTGAAGGAAAGCTCAGAGGGCAGCACGTCACCCTCCTGCCCCGGTGCCTCTGGGGTGCTGCTCACCCTTCTGGCTGCTCCCGGCTCCCGAGGTGACTGTGTGAACCCGCTGCCCTTTCCCGGTGCCCCCAGCCCGGGGGGAAGGTGTGCAGGGGCCGAGGGCTGGCAGGGAGCCCGCGGGTCCCCTCGGTCCCAATCAGCTGTGATTGAACGCAGCCCCCAGCCCCCGGTTCCTCCGCACGTTTGACGACGACGAGCATCCGTGGAATCTGCAAGCCATTAGCTCTCTGTTATCTTTCTGGAGATGCTGAGGTGAGCCATATGGAAGCACTTACTCGTCAACAGCCTGGGACAGAGTTTGGTGGGGTGGCCAGGACTCAGCCCTTTGTGAACTGCAGAGAAGCTGGAACGCGTCCATTGACCCATTTAATGAGCTCCGGCAAGGGGAATTTCACACTGTGCCTGGAGCAGCAGTAACCTTATATGTAGAGAGAGGGGGAGATAATTTCTAATCTTGTCAATCACGCCGTTGTGAAATCCGCAGCAGGGTTTCTTGGAGCGGGAGGGCCAAGGAGAAGGCGGAGGGCCTGATCCAGGTTCTCGCAGAGCAGGGCTGCACAAGAAAGGCCTTTCATTATTTTTCTTTGCAGTCTCCTCATTTCCTCGCTGAAAAAAACAACAATATATTTATTAACTAGACAAATATTTGACTGGGACAACATGCTGAAATGACCTGCAAACGCCTCCTCGTTCCCACCAAGAGGGGTTCCTGCTCTCACCCGCAGCCCCAAACCCTGCAGGGCCTCCAGCAGCTCCGGCCACCCCCTCCTCCCCCTCATCCAAAGGAGGGGGAAGAGAGGAAAACACCTCCCCCAGGTACCCCACTGGCTCAATCCCGCCTGCCACATGCCAGAGTTACTCGGAGGGGCTTGCAGGGGCTGCCGGGGGCCACGTCGAGGCACATCCTTGTGATGGGGGCACAGCTGGTCCAAGCTCCATGGTCCTCAAGGGAGGACAGAGGGCACAAGGGTCTGTATTTAGGGGACAACGGTGTTACCCCAAGCCAGCCCTTCACACATCAAAGAATCACAGAATTATGGAGTCATTTAGATTGGAAAAGACCTCTGAGCTCATTGAGTCCAACCACTGACACCAGCGGGACCCTCTGATGCCACGGTGCTGCTGCTCCATCATCTCCACTGCGGGGAACCACGCCAAGACTGAGCTCCAAGCTAAAGAAACAAACAGAGCCTTTTTTCCCTGTTGTTTTTCCTGTTTGCCTAAGAAACATAATCTTTCCCCAAAATGAAAAAAATAATAATAACGTACAGGAAGGCCCCAAGCATGAGCCGGTTTGTGTGCGATTTCAATCAAAACAGGCTTTGAAAAACAAATTCCTTCGATATTCATCACATGTGTAAAACACATTAAAGGGGGACAGTGGACTGGGCTGGAGGACCTGAGCCCTCTGGCTCCTGCCCATGCTGGGAGATGTGGCCAAGCATCAGTGAGAGCTTCTCCAGCCTGGTGGGACCCTGTTGTAGGATTGTTTAGGTTGGAAAAGCCCCCTGAGAACATCAAGTCCAATGATTCCCCCAGAACTGCCATGGCCACCACCAACCCATGTCCCCAAGTGCCACATCCACAGGTCTGTTAAATCCCTCCAGGGATGGGGATGTTCCAGACAAGGGGGCAAGTTGCTGCTCCAGAAAAACTGCTCACATTCTGTGTGAGCAGAGAACAGGAGAGATCCATGTTTTCCTGGCCTAAATGGAGCCTCAGAGAGCAAAATTTTAGTTCTGCATCTTGGGGTTCACTTTACAGAACCAATGCTATAATTCCCATCTTATGTTCTGCTTTGAAGCCCTGATGTCCAGCACCCTTGTGGCCCCAGGGATTGCCATATTCCTGGGTTTGATCCTTGCAGACTGGCCAGACATCACAGTGCTGGGCTCTCCCTGCCCTTGGCAGCCACATCCTTGCAGATCCCAGCTCTGTGTGACCCCACGAGCCGCCTGCCTGGTGCCTCTCACACCTCTGTCCCACACCGGGGTACATTTGAATTCCGCTGTTATTTTTTCCTCTCATTACTCTGGATTCTGACTTATTTGCACATAAACCAACGCAAAGTGGTGGACACACAAACAAGCCCACATGTCCCCCACTGCCTCTGGCAGGGTCCCTGCTCTCTGCTGGAGCCCCAGCCCTCACTGCTCCATGCTCTGATCATTATCTGGAGCAACACAGCCCGTTTTCGGTGGGTTCCTCGTTTTTACAAGGTGTGATGAGGAAGGAATGCTGTGTACAGTTTAATTAGGGACTAAGTGCCTTGGGGGAGTGGGAAGCAGCAGATACCCCATGCACCAGCCCCAGACACTCTGCCCCCCATTACAGCAGCCCCTTTGATGTCTCCAGTCCCAGTGTCCCACCGTGCAGCCGAGGGCGAGGGGAGGAACTGGGAGGCTGCACGGCCTGGCAGCCCCTCTGTTGGTCCCTGCTCTGAGGGGCTGAAACTCCGCTTTTCCCCAGCTCCAATTTCTGCCCCAGTATTTTGTCCAAACACCTCTGGGAGTAGGAGCTGAGGGTGAGCACAAGCTGCAGAACAGCCAAGGATAACAGGATGTCCTGGCCAGAGGTTTACCTCCATGGACAGGGCAGAGTCAAGGGCTTGACTGGCTTCTACTCTCCCAAGAACCTGGGGCTGGGTCCTGCTCTTCCCTGCCTGAGTGTCCCTATTGTCTCTCTGGATGCCCCTTTTCCCTGCCTGATGCAGAACAGTGACTCAGAAATGAGATTTGGCCTCAGGAATATGTAAATTCCCAGCACCCTCCCCAGTGGATCCCTGGCCCCAGCAGGGAGGCTGTGAGCTAACCCCTTTTTCCCAGCTGTGGTCCCTGCAGTGAGGGGCAGCACCCGACGTTCATCCCACCCAGGGAGTGCCCGGGAGCCCAGCGGGTGCCAGGCAGGGATCCCAGCCGGGCCGGGAGCTCTGCTCCCACACGCTGGGGAGGAGCTGCTCCTCACCCCGTGACTCACGGCTCGGTCCTGGGAGGCTGAATCAGCACCCCGAGGGCAGGAGGGGGCCCTTCCCTCCCCCTTCTCCGGGGAAGACGTGGTGACCTACCCCTGCTCCGTCTCCCGACTTGTTGCGGGCTGCAGGCACATGTTGTGGGAACTTGGGCTGTTGTGTCAGCGCTGCCTCATCCCGCCCGTCGCAGCCCCGCGGGGTCGGGGCTGGGGCGGCCCGGGGGGTCCCACACGGAGACTCTCCGGAGCCGGAGCATCGCCCACCCGGGGAGCCGCGGCCGTGCCCCGCCCTGCCCTGCGGAGCAGAGGGGCACCCAGCCTGGCACTGCCCGCGGATCCGCGCCTCGAGGCGTTCCCGGGGTGCAGGGGGGCTGAGGACACGGCGGGGATGGGATGTTGGTGATGCTCCAGTGAGCTGGGACCCTTCTCCTCCGCGAGCCTTCCCCCAGCGCAGCCCTGACAACTCCGCAGGGAGCGGCTGTCCCAGGCTGGGCTCAGCGGGAACCAGGGATGAATTCAAGGCTGGGTGAGACCCCTGCCCTCATCCTCATTGTTTCCCATCCCCACAGGGCTGTCTCCAGGCAGGGCAGGACAGTGCCCTGCCTGCACAGACACCCAGCACCGCTCTCCTGCCTCCTCCTCCTCCTCCTCTCCCACAATGTGACTCCTCCGTTCTGTAAATAATTTCCATTTTCATTTCTGAGCACAGGGGTGACACATGAAGTGGAGATGTGAACTCAGCACACACACACATGCCTCCCCTGATTAGGACAACTTTTAAGTAGGTCAGAGCCTGGATTGGAGATGCTTGATAGCTCCCCTGTAAAACATCCCGACTTTAATGCCCTGGATGTTTTTGTGATGTGAAATGGGAGCGGTTTATAGGGGCAATGTGGGGGAGCAGATGTTCCTCCCATGCTGGGGGAGGGCAGTGGTGGGGAAAGTGACTGCTGTAAGTGAACTGGTGATTAAGGTCATTAAAGAACCTTAACCCAGGGGCACTGGGGGGATGGGAAGGGGACAGCCGGGCTCCATCACCACTAACAAGCCACTAGCCAACCATCCCATCCCATCCCATCCCATCCCATCCCATCCCATCCCATCCCTGTGCAATCCTGCTGGACAGCCCTGGCAGTCACAGCTTCCCAGAGTCTCCACACACCCCTCAGTTTAGGTGCCAGTGGGCACTTCTGACTATATTTCTGTATTTCCTTAAATCTCCAGCTCCCGGAGTCCTGTGATTTCAGGAGAAAGGTCATTTTTAGCATTGCATTTCCTTTTTTTTTTTTTTTTTGAGGAAAAATAGTAGGTCACCCACATTTGTGGCTGGGAGAAAACCACATTTTGAAGGAAGATCCTTCACCTGGCATCTCCCAGCTCACCCTGCAGTGCCCATAGGCAGCTGCCCGGGAGCTCATCTGCCAGTCCCCAGCCCCCACTCCCCCCACACATCTCCAGCCCCTCAGCGATGCATTTGCTGATGAGAAAGGAAAGAGGCACGATTTAAACCTGACCTCTCACCCCAAGCTGTGTCTGTAATCTGACAAGCAAACCTTAATAGGCCGAGCCAGGCAGCGGAGCCCAAAGCCCAGATAAAACCCAGCCCCAACGACAATTCAATTTCCTTCCATGAGATCAACTTGCAGCTTTAGCAAACCCACTTGTGCGGGCGCTGGGCTGAAACAATCTGGGCTGGCAGGCACGGCCACGCTGCCTTTGGTGGGCACCACCTGAGCCCAGCACCCCCCTGGGGCTGTGCTTCAACCCTCAGGACCCTCCTGGGGCTGCCCACCACCCCCAGCACCCTTCTGGGGCTCTGCTTCACCCCCCCCAGCACCCTCCTGGGGCTGCCCACCCCCACCAGCACCCAGCACAGCCCAAAGACCCTGATCCTGTGTGTGCCCTTGGACCAGGAGCACATGGAACTTGGTGCCTTGCAGGGTTGGGGGTTATTTCCAAGGAAGGCTCTTCCAGGCACATGTAACCCAGGGGGGCTTTTGGGCCACCTGGAGGATGCCAGGCTCGTCCCCCTCCCCAGGGCACCCATGGGCACCACGAACCAGGTTGGCTGAGGTGTTGGGAGGGTCACAATGTGCTGCTGGGGCCAGGACAGTCCTGCCTCCAGGCTGGCCATGCTGATCCCTCCACAGGCACGGAACCCTCCTCCTTCTCCTCCTCCTCCTCCTCCTGCTCAGCCTGGTGTGGAGGCTGGAGGCTGAAGTGCAGAGGGGGATGTGTTTTCTGTGCTGAGCAGCAAATAATGTCCGCATGAAAGGCATGATGCTTTTGCTTTCTCTCCTATTTTTTTTATTGCTGTTGCTAATCTTTGACCTAGATAGCAAAGGAACTTGCTGGGAGAGGAGGAGGGTGCTGGGCCTGGGGCTCAGGCAGGGCTGGAGCCGAGAGCCTCCTGCCAGGGCATGACGTGGGGGCTGCATGGGTGGGAAGGAAGGCCCCAAAAACAGGGCCCTTAGTGACAGCAGTGACAGCAATTTTTGAGAAAAAGCAAATTAAAAAAACCTATCAAGCCAAATGTTCCTGAAGAGCATTCACATGGATGGAGTCCATGGAGTATTGTTGCATTATATCACAGTAATGCCAAGTTTTCAGTGAGAATTGGAGTTTCTTAATGTCTTTGTGTGTGTTCATTGATGCAGTTCACATATATAGAATCAGAGTCACAGAAAGGTTTGGGCTGGGAGGGACCTTAAAGCCCACCCAGTTCCACCCCCTGCCATGGGCAGGGACACCTTCCACTTGACCTGGTTGCTCCCAGCCCTGTCCAGCCTGGCCTTGAACGCTATATATATTTATTTTCATTTCACATTTCCATGTGATGCGGGCAGGAAGCAAATCTCTCTCAGGAACCAAACTCCACTTTAGGTCAAGGGCAGGAGACCAGAGCATCCCACTCCACTCCTTTCCCATCCCAGCTGCCTCCACCCACATCCAGTTCCCCCACTGCCAGGCAGAATTGCTTTTATTTCTGAAACAAGCCCTACTAGATGCCTCCAGTTTACAACCCTCTGCCACCCATTTCCATCCCACTGCCACCAGTTTGGTCCCTGCTCCTCTCGGCAGAGCACACACAAGGATCCTTTATTAGCAAAGCAAATCTGCAGGAGGAGGCTTTTACTTTAAGCGTGCCCCTCAATAACCACAGAAAGACCAAATGTAAAACTAATCATCCCAAGCCTCAGTCCTGCATCTCCTGCATCGGCACTCGCTGGCTTTGCTCGGCGATCCCAAACTCCCTCGAGTGCCGCGTGCACAACTCCAGCAATCCCAGTCTCAGGGAAAAGATTAGCTCTTAATTCCCCGAAGCCAAATCAGGACACGACACAGCCCATATTGTTCCAATTTACACCTCCTTATGAGCTTCCTCAGCTCCCTTTATAGTCTCAGTCTCTGTGCTGTGAATCTTCCCCATTTCCAGTCGCTCCAGTCTGGGGGCCCAGCAGCCCTGGGGTCCCACAGTGGGGCCTCTCTGGAGCCTGACAGCTTCCCCTCCGTGGGCTGCACTGATGGGAACCCCAAAATCTCCTGGACAACTCCTGGGCTTCTCCCATCCCTTGCAGGAGGCTCTGGGCAGGATAACCGTCCCGGTGCTGAGGTGGGGTGACTGTGGCCATGCCACAGCTCCCATGGGGACACAGCAGGAGTGCTGTGGGGATCAGTGTCCCGTGGTTCGGCAACCAGAGCCCTGTGGCTGAGCTGGGCTCAGGAGTGCCCTGGCCAAGAACTGGGGCTCAGCCTCGCTGGGGATGCTCCACACTGGGAATCACAGCTTCAGGGCCGAAGGGGTTCTCATGCTACGGGCTCTTGCTATTCTGAATTGGAGGATTTCTTAATTTTTTTTAACGGAACATGAGGATCTGATGAACAAGGCAGCAGCCTCAAATAACCTCTAGCTTGGCGTGAAGGCAAGTCACGGCTGTTTGGGATAAACACAAACCCTTTCCCAAGGCCAAAGCAGGGATGTTGTGGGAGGGGCTGCAGGGGCGGTTGGGAGGGATCCATCCTGCTGTGGGCTGGGTGCCCTGAGCACCCATCTCTGCTCTCACAGCACTTTCCACCTCTGTACCTGTCAACAGGTCAGGTCTCTGCTTCCCTGCACTTCCATGGTCCCCATACACAGTGCTCCCTGCCTGGAGCAAGCACCAGCACCAGCACCAGCCCTCTGTGCTGAGGACCCTCCAGACAAACCCACCAGTGCTGAGCCACACACAGAGACAGTGAAACCCCTCCTCTGGCAATTTATTCCCAGACTCAATCTGCTGGCTTAAGGGATCTGATCTGGCACTTTCTGCTGTTAAACAATGGGATGAGAACCGGAAAATGGAGCAAAGACTGGGAGGCTTTGGTGAGCCTGGGCTGGGCTGAGGGCAGAGCCCTGTGCCCTCATCCATGGGAAGAAGCTGATGGTCTTCTCCACGTACAAGGCTCTGCTTCCCACAGCTGCCGAGTTCCCACGGGATGATTTTCCCTGTGTCCTTCCCCTCTCTCCATCTCCAAAAAGCCACCAGCTGCTTCCCACAGCTGCAGTGCCCTGGCCACAGCTCTCAGCAGAGCCTGGGGCTTGATGTGGCTGTGGTGGGGTTTCACCCTCTGTGGTGCATGAAGGAGTTAACGTGCTGAAAACCCCACATTCTCCTCGGGGGGGGGGGGGTTTCCAGGGATGTGGACCAAATCCTATTACAGCAACACTTACCTGGGGAGCCATGGGGAGGGCAGCCATGCAGCAAACCTCAGTGGTTTGCTACTTGATTTGTTCCCCAGCAGTGGAGAGCTGATGGTGGAGCAGTCCAGGAGCAGCTGGAGAAAACCCTCACCGCCCAGGAGCTGCTTTTCTGCTGTAAATACCATAACAGGGGCCTTGGAGGTGTCACTTCCAAGAGGACATGGCTCCCCTTGAGCCAAGCACACTGCCGAGAGTGGAGACTATGGCTTGTGGTGCTCACAGCCACCCTTCAGCCTTAATTTTGGAGGGCTCTGGACATCAAACTCACCGATCTGGCTGGCACTTTGCCCAAGGGGCACCAACATCATTGAGGAGCCACATCTCAACCCAGCAGAGCAGAGAAGAATTTAAAAAAAGGCAAAAAGAAGAAAACCGAGACCGATTGCCCCAAGCACAAGCAGAGGAAGGGGGAGGCGAGA